ACTACTGGCTACCCATGACTGCAGAATTGTATGGCTCCTCCAGCTTATTACAATGAGCAGGAGGGTGGTCTAATCCCCATCAACTTTCCTTTCTCCTTTGCTCTCACTTAAAGTGGCAACTAAAAATCTAAAATAGTGAATGATAGTCTAACTAAGCATGTAGGTTTATAAAACCACAAAGAGGCAAAGAATTAATCACATCCCTAAGACTAAATGTAGTTTTCTTGTGTATATCTCAAGCAATAAGAGAAAACAAAAGGTCTAATCCATCAGAGACTTTTTCTTTTATAAAATACAGCAACACATTAGTAGAAAAATGTAAAAATGTATAAACTATAAACATTTTACTTATTGGATTAATATATAAGAAAAATTCCTTTCATAAAGGTTTCTGTAGATTTATTCTATCTATTGGGACTAAACTCTTAAATCAAAGATGTGTTTTATGGGTGTGTTTTCGTCTGGGCAGTAGTATAGTATCATTTTCCTAGACCTAGTATTCTTAAAGAATATTGCATAAAATCTATTAAGTGCATGCTTATTGTAATCTGCCTCCACATTTCTATATCTATATATCACGTATTCTGTCTATTATCTATGTATACATACACATATATGTCTGTCTATCTTCATAACCATATATGATCCATAAGTCTTTATGCATCTATATCCTTTTCCATGCCTTCATCATTTATCTTCACCTTGCATATCCCTACCTCGACTTCAAATCTTATTCTTACATATACCTACATTTTCTTCTATTTATTTGTTTAAGTGTGGCCACAATAGCTCCTTACATTAATGGAGAGCAGGCTGGCCGGGAAGGGGTCTTCCTCTGTCTCCAGCAATCCACTGTACTGTGTGTGGAACTTGGGGAAGCTTAATTTGGTTCTGAATGATGAGTGGTCTCCTTCTACATTTTTTTTTTTAGTAAATAGTAGAAGTCACATTAAAAAGTGAATCTGTTTGCCTTTTGGGTCTTTTTGTTTTTTGGCATAAATCTTTGGGGTAATGTGTTGATTGTTAGAAGTTCTTTTAGATATGTGTTAGTTTATACCTCACTGATTTTGCGGTAAAACTCCTACTGACTGGCATTTTTTTTTCTCACCATGTTAGTACGTCCTTAGAAAAGAATATAGAACTTATTTGAAAAGTTACATTCCACCGAGGTTTCTTCTTGAATTATTTATTCTATTTTTTGAAGATGAGGGACTTACTTGCCAGTCTTTTCAGCCCCTGTGACTTAAGTCTGTTTCTATGATATAAACAAAACAAAGTTAGCCAATCTGGGACCTAGCGCTCACGAAGGTTACTCTGGTTATCCCGTATTCATGTTGATTTCCTCAAATCTGTCACCTGCTCTAATTCTTAGCACAGAATGTGTTCTAAAAACATAACATCATTAATAACGATAATGCTAACTTTCTTCCTGGGATCAGGCAGAATTATATTGTTGCAAGTACGGAGGAAGAAAAACAAGAGTGTCTTCCTTCTTCCCTTCTAGGGTGTCAGCTGGGCTCTAGCAAAAGATAGATTAAAGGAAGAGAAGTCAGTAGAAGCTTTGAGCACCTGTGTGCCTTACACACAAGGAGAGCGGCGCAGAGATGAACGATTTGAAAACTTTGGTTCGAAGTAGGGATTCCACAGTGTTTTAGCCAATGAGGACTACATTTTCGGAGAAATGTAAGAGAATAGAAAAGGATGAAGGGGCCGTGGGAAGACAAACGTTTGTATTGCGACGGAAGATTAGTTTGCCTAGTGAAGCCTGCCATGCAAAATGTTTCATGTTTCTGATTTACACTGGCAAGGACCTAAAATTTTCTCTGGTGAGGAACTTGGTGAGAAAGGGAAGGATGGGCACCTTCATACATTTATTTCCTACATTTTGGCAAGATGAAGGGAAGATAATATTTTTTTTTATTTATAATAGATCTTTACTAACTCATGGTTAGAGTACTCATTCTTGGTTAGAGTACTCGTTATACCAAACTAGCATGTTTGGGGATAGCAAATTTAGCTACTTTTCACATTGAAAGTAGTACAAATTGAAAATGAAGGGAAGAACTCATCTTTCAGTATTGCTCATGGAGGGAAAAATTACATTTGATTTAACATCTATGGCCTTAAAAGGAGTATTCAATAAATCACATACCTAGCTATAAAAGATGTTTGTTTGTTATTTGCAAATATTTATAATAAAGCTTATACAATTTTTTAAAAAATAAGGATCTGTGACTTAAATAAAAATTTAAAACAAGAGCTACAAGGTAATGGAGTAAGGAAGTAAGAACCTATGTAAAAATCCATTCTGAAATACCTGCATTGAAGAAGAAATTGAGATTACTGTCTTGTATAGCATAGTGATTAAAAACATATATCCTGGAGCCAGACTACTCAGATTCCAATCTACCTGACACGGTTAAATGTAATTTCTTGGGATCAAATAACATCCTTGGGAATGAAATTGGAACAGGAGGAAGAGTATCGGCCTCGCAGCCTGGTGCAGACTAAATGGGTTAATGCAGTTAAAGCCTGCAGAGCAGTGGCTTAGGAACGGGGTCTAATGTTTATGTACTTACTATACCTCTTTTCTCTGAGAGTTACCAGCGGTTCTTACAAGCAAAACACAAAACAGTAAAACACAAGTTGCTCTAAAATGAGCAAATAAACAAATGTTAAATTGTACAAAGTAGCGCAGCTGACCCTCAGTACAGGAAACTGAGGCTCTATGAAGTTTGTGGTTTACTTTCGATCTCCTGGGCAACAAGACCAGGGCTTGGAAGAGAAGTGCTGACCCTAAGTAGAGAACTAGGGTTCTTTAAGCATCCCTTTGCAGCTTCTCTGTGTGTTATCTGTCTGATCTTTGAGAATCGACTCAGCTTCTCTGAGTCTAAACTTCTGTATTCGTTAAACAGAGATAATGGTATTACCTATCTAGGAAAATTGCTACAGCATTAAATGAGTCATTGGATATAAAGAGCTGTGCAAGGTGCCTGGCTCACAGCGTATGTTCAGCAGATCTTAACCTGTATTAATGGCAATATAGTCTATCTCGACTTACGCTTTATGGAGTCTAGATTGCATACTTAGGGCCACATAATTGAGATCAGTTCTATATTTTGCATCTAATTCTTGCTCCTAACTAAAGCATATAAGACAGAAACAATCCGAAATAATAGATAGATGCATAGAGATAAATACTGCAAGTACAAGGCAAAGTCATCCCTAAAGAAGTAATTAATTATAAACCAAGTGGCTTGAGTGTCCTCCTCTTTCCCTAAGTTCACACACACAAGAGGCTCTAACATTTTGAAGCCCTTCCGCCTGAGAGCTTCAGAGACAAAGAAAATGATATTCTCCGGACAATGTGACCTGTATTTAGCAACCAGTCATTTCTAGCACCAGAACAGAGTCCCGTGTAAGTTGAGTTGGCTTGATATGTGAGGACTGTTGACTCACATTGTCTTCCACGCACCGCCTGGTTTCCACAGGCAGAGTAGTGGTGTTGCTATAAGGTCTGAGTAATACCAGAAAAAGAACAAGGGCTCTCTGTGGGAAAAAGTTAGGGCCTTCATTTGCAAGTAATTTGTAATGAATTCTCTAAAAATATATGCTTTTAAGGCTTTCAACTGGTTTTAAAATGTGAAGTGGCTAAATCTCTCGAAGCTGTCTTTTTTTTTTTTTTTTTTTTTAAACAAAAGAGGACTGTGGTCTGAATGATAATGAGAGTCACTGAAAAGCAAATCTAATGGGGATTTCTGGGAAGATGTAGTCAGGATCACAAAATCCCAACCCAGGCCCCAGGAGCATCTGTGCTCATCAAATCACTGATGCCATGCGGGTTCACAAAGCCTGGGGCACACAGCAGCATGGGTAGGCACTGTAGAGAGTTCAGTGAGGTGAGCTAGAACCTGTTTAGTCCCCACTGGGGAGATAAGACTTACAGCCGACCAACTGACTTACAGCTCACTAAATCACTTCATCCAAGGCCAAAGGTAAAAGACCTCAAAATGAAGAATCAAAAATATGACCCAGTCAAAAGAGCCAGCACTTTGAGTTATAGAAAGAAAAGAGTTCAGAAGCCTATGAGGATCAGGGACTACTTCATAGAGGCGGTGAGGTGCTGTTTGAAACTCAGTGGAAGTGCAACCCAGTAATCCATGTGAGAGAGTCACTAAGGGATGGGCAGGGGTTGATACACCTCAGTGGGGCCAGACAGGAATAGTCTGTGCCCTTAATAGCCTGTAGGTGCAATGCTTAGACTTCTCATGCTTTATTAAACTTGACTGCTGGGGACCCAGTCTCCTCAGGCAGGATGGCTTGAGCAGCATCTGACCCTGGCAGAAACACCAATCAAAGCCCAAGGGAGAGTCTAAAAGATGCCTGAGAAGGGATTAACTAACTGTACTGTCACTTAAGTCTCCTGTCATCCGCTGTGACCACGTGAAAATGGAAGACTGTGTGATCTCTAGACTAGACTTTCGGCATTCCCCCTTTGAAACACTGATTCTAAGATCTGATAGACTCTGGAGCACAACAGCCTGGCTTCTCCCTGTTAAGATAGGACCCCATTCATGAAGCAATTTGTGCCCAGTTGGGGCTTTTTGAAAAATCACACTCTGGATGGCTCATCCCCTCAGCTCTCCATTCCCACACTCCATTCTGTTTTGTAGGTACACTTCCTGAGTTCATATTTGCTGAGGACCCTGCTGCTTCACTTATAAGAAGGGAGTATTTATCCAGAATTGGAAGAAAGTTTAAAGCAGGGACTAAACATGCTGGATTTGCATTTGATACAATGAGAAAAGCAGTGGATGAAAATCCCAGAAGAGGGATTAGAATCCAGTTATTAGGCAACACTTTTCATAGTCAATCAATGAAAACAAGCAAAAAAAATTGCTTTCTTTTTGTCTGCTTATCAGCTGAGTGATCATATTACAGATAATTCTTAGATTTAACTGAAATATGATGAAGTCTGTGTTCTTAACAATTTGTCTTACCTCTTAGAACTGGACTATGCAAAGAACAGGTGCTGACACTTGTCCACAGTCTCCGGGCTTATTTATACACAAGGCATTGTGCAGGAGCCATGATGCTTGTCTGTATGGATTTGACGTTGGAGAACCTGTCTCATGATCCTGGAAACTGGACGCCATTCCAATCAGTTATCCAGACAGTAGTAAGCTGGTTTCAGTGTGTGTCTTTCTCTGATGCTGTCTCAGGACTGTAGGCTCTGTGGAGAAACTCCCCTTGGTTTTGAGAAAAGCCGGGTGGTTATGAAATATACAGACCCTCTGGGTGGTTGCCTAGCAGATGCTACTATTTATGCTAGATTGTATGAGGTGAAACCAATTTGCTTAAAAACCAATCACTATTTCATTCTCTCCCCTACACATCTTTAGCTCCTTCTAATTCTTCATGTATGTTTGTCTTGTTTCTACCTCAGGGCAGTGAGTTGTGTTTTGCCAGCTCTTCATGTTGTTCAGTTTTAAACATTAGGTAAGCTCACCGACTTATTAACTTCACAGGGGTTTACCGAATGTCCACAGCGCACCCGATACTGCCTGTAGGAACAATAGATGCCTATCCACTACTGATACCCTTTGTTATCTCTTGCCATGTAGAAGAAACACAGGGCACATGGTTCTAATAGGAGCTTCTGGTCTAGTGACTAAGGCAAAAAAATAAGGAAACATGTTGATTGGTGTGGTACATGCCGTATAAGGAAACATGCCGATTGGTGTGGTACAGGCTATAAAAGGAAAAAGAAATAACAGAGGAGTTCAAGTGACCTGGCCTTGGGGGATACAATGGATGGCAACAGGGTAAATATAGTTTCAGAGCACCATGGTGGCGAAGAGGTGGCAGAGTATCACCCACCATGGATGGCAGAAAATACAGAGTAGAATCCCTGAGCTGGTAATTCTCTCATTTGCCTCATTTTAATTTTTTTATTTAATTTATTTATTTTTTGGTTTGTGGAGACAGGGTTTCTCTGTAGCTTTGGTGCCTGTCCCGGAACTAGCTCTTGTAGACCAGGCTGGCCTCGAACTCCCAGACATCCGCCTGCCTCTGCCTTCCGAGTGCTGGGATTAAAAGCATGCGCCCCCACCGCCCGGCCCTTGCCTCCTTTTTATTGATCAAGGACCCAAAACAACAAGACACAACTGCCCTTTGATAATATGGAAATACTATCACAGACATACCTTGATGAGTGAGTTAGCAATTTTTTAGGCATTTTTCAAAACAGTCAAATTTGGCAACCCTAGTTATCCATTATACTTGGTATTGCCATTGGTTCTACCAGAAAGAAGACTATCATCAATTGCGGATTCCTGGCCTTGGATTTCAGATCCATGAGCCCAAAATGGACCTATTTTCCATAGAAGGGTTGTCCAATCTGTGGTATCATGTCATTATCAGTAGGAGCCGTTCTAAGACAGTAGAACTGTTAAAACTCCAATATTCAGACATCAGGACTTAGCAAGATGGAAGGAGGGCCTTTGAAGCCGAAGGAAAACCATATGTCATGGCTGGGTGTGGAGACAGACATGGAGCGGGACTACTGCTGGTTGTCAACAGAACTGGGCTATAGAGAGTGGCTAAAGGGAGGCAAGTCAGATGATAAAGGGTCTCATTCCCACGCTCTATAGCATAGATGCTTTGGAAAGCAACCAGGCGCTGTACAAAAAGGGAGGCAAGTCAGATGATAAAGGGTCTCATTCCCACGCTCTATAGCATAGATGCTTTGGAAAGCAACCAGGCGCTGTACAAACATTTAAAAATTATTGCATTTGTTTACCTATGTGTGTGCACATGTGAGAGCCATAATGTGTGTGTGTGTGTGTGTGTGTGTGTGTGTGTGTGTGTGTGTGAAGGGAAGAGGACAACTTGTAATAGTTGATTCTCTCCTTCACCATATGGGTCCTGGGAATCAGACTTAAGTCAGGCTTGGCTATAGGTTATTTTACTGACTGAGTCATGCCACTCACCCAAAGTATTTTTAAGAGATTGGTAATATTGCCGGCGGTGGTGATGCATGCCTTAAATCCCTGCATTTGGGAGGTAGAGGCAGGCAGATCTCTGTGAGTTCGAGGACAACTAGGGCTGTTATACAGAGAAATCTTATCTCGAAAAAAAAAAAGAAGAGTAAATAAGATTGGTGATATAATAAAATAATATTTTTGCTTTAGCTCCTTCTGGTGTTTCTGAGGAAACAGAATTGTGAAAGAGAGAAAGAGAAGGAGGAAAGGAGGGAGGGATGGAGAGAGAGAGAGAAAGAACGAGAAGCTGTTTAGGACAGAGTTGTTCTATAGGACAAAGGTCATATGCAAATTTGGCCTAGATTAGTGCAAATAAAGAGCTGTGGAAAGATGTGCATGGTTGTGCAATCACTAGGGAGGCAGAGGCAGGAAGGTTGCCGCAGATCTGAAGCCAGCCTGGCCTACATAGCAAGTATCAGTCACGTGTCAGATGAGAGTGGGAGGTGAAAAAAAACCGCGATTCTTCAACATCTTGCTCTTTATATCCTGTTGATTAGCACCAACTCATCATTTTTTGTAAACATTTCCTGTTATTCACTAACTGAATATGTGTTGTGGTTAACGACTACAGACCACATCACATCCTGTGGTAACGTGATCAGCTATGACCTATAAAAGCTCCTGCAGACGCTGGCAGTCCCTTCAGTGAGTTCCAGCCAGCTCAGAGGTAGTTTCGCTATTACAGTAACGTGAGTAAGTTCCTTCTTTTAAAATCTGGTTTAGGCTTAGCAGTGTGGTGCTGTAACTCAGGATGTGGAACTTGCCCTAAGATCCTCATGTCTTCTACCAGGCAACAAGGCTGCCGGGAGTGTGGAAACTCTGTTTCTACCCAAATCACCGACACACACAGGTGAGTCAAGGTCCAAACCCTGTGCAGCTCCATTCTGTTGGCAGCAGCTAAGGGTTCACTGGTACATTTTATGAATTTTTAGTTGGGTTTCAGTGATGGATTTTGTTTATTTTATGGTCATTTAGTGCTCTCTGCAAATGAATTAATGGTTTATAAATATTTTTTGTCTCCTTCAGAAAAAAGTGACAGAGAATTGAGTTAGTATCTCTTTTCTATTTATCTTATTTTTCTCTAAATGCAACTTGAAAAATTTGTAGCTACTAGGAAAATATTTTCTGAGCCAGTCAGGAGGTAAGAAAACCAATTCTATATTATTATGTTACTGCTAAATACTTCCATCATTACATTGTGGTTCTCCCTTTCATTTGGTTATCTATGGCTGTAATGGCAAGTTGAATTAATTAGTTCGGTTGAAAAGACCATCAGACTGTGTTCTCCTTGCACTATGAAATACAGGTGACTGTGGCTGGATTTCTTCCACCATCTTCTTTGCCAGACAGGAAAGAAAACAAAGGGAAGAAGCAAGCCTTTCCCCAACCAACTTCAAGGTAAACTCCCTCTCCTCATAAAAGTATTATTTCTGCTCTCTGGAGAAAAACCAAACTCCTGCACCTCCTNTATATATTTCCTTCTCCATTTCATTTTCTTCTGAAAGTGGTTCTACAAGTTTAACTCTATTCTTGAAAGTCAAACGCTAGGAACATACTTTGCAGTACTGCTTGAGTAGTCCCTAGGCTAGCCTGCATAGGCAAGTCAATGGTGGGAAAGAAACACAAAAGACTGAGCACCAATTCATTGGGGCAACCCGCACTTTTCTCCAATAGGGTCGCCTCCTTCTGCTGACCTTGTTTGAAGACTTCTCCCAGCTTTCAAGCATCTGTTCTTTGTCAACACCAATATGTGTGATGTTAGCCCCATTTTCTGTGATGTAACGTCATGTGACTTCTTCAAACAGCTCATTATTAAACTCTGGGGACCTCACGCTCCTTCAATAATAGAAACTCTAGGTTCAATGTTTCAGGGACCATGCCCTTTCTGTTCTGTAGACCGGACTAATCCTCCTGCCTTACTTAGGGAAGAATCACTCTTTACTTGGGCCAAACTTATGAATCACCTTATGTTATGTCCCTCTCAAATGTTGGTTTCCCGCCAACCTCTTTTTGGAGAAGACATTTTGATATCATGGACCTTTATTGACTTACTTAACCTAGTATACGGCCTGCCAGGATCAGATTGTAATTATAGTAATAACCACGCACCATTCCTAACTATAGATAGAACTTCTCCTCCAACCCTCATTCAGGCAGTAACTCGACACATGATCCAACGCCTTTCTCAAGAGGCTCATTGGCAAGAGACCAGGAACCTCAATTGGAGGGTGGCTAAAATGCTATGCCTTCATCCAGGGGTACCACTGCTAAGACCAAAACCAAAAGGAAGAAAATTGTTTTTAAGGCCAAGGATGCAAAGGGAGCGTCAATATTGAGCTTCTGAGGCACTGAGGATGTTCAGATTCCACAGGGGGTGTGCCCTGGGAACTCACATCCACGTCCCATTTTTCCCTCTCAAGTAGACTCCCTTTTCATGGAAACAGGTTAGCATTCTCCATTTTTTTTTCTCTTCTCTCCATTACAAGTTCTCATGGGGAAATCTATTACTTTACTGTCTTCTGCCTCTCAGGTATATCCTTACCCTTTGGCAGAAGTTTAACCTAGAGAAATACACGTGAGTTACAATATTAGTTGGGATGTAGAAGAATGTGGGCCTCAAAGGGCAGCCTTAACAATAGCATTATCCTTCCTCCAATGCCAGTTAGATGATTACCATAGAAGACTGGGGGAGTGGTCCGAGAGGCCACATATACAGGTTTTCATGGTCCTATACCATCACTACCTCTGCAAAGGAAATGTGAAGATAAATGAAGAAACTCTAGATACAATGGAGGTCCCTCTATTTTATGGTCCTCTTGTCTCTTAGGGGTGTTCACCATTCCACTCTCTTTGGAGTAATTCCTGGTGGCCCTCTCATGTCACAAGGAAAAAAATCCTAGTCTCCTCCTGTACTTGGTGATGATCCCTTTAAGGTCCAGGAAGCAGAACTTCAACTGTTCTTTAACCCTTGCAGGGCAAACCCCATGTAAGGCAGAAGAAGCTGCCTTTTTGGTAAAGAAGGTAATTGGGCCCAGAGGAATTCCTACAGTGCAGGTGACCCTTTTAGTGGAAGATATCCAACAATGAAGGGGAAATTGAATGCTTATTCTGAAGATGCAGATAAATTTGTCAGTGTGTTTCAGACTCTGACCGTGTCAATTGATGTATACTGGAGGAGGAATGTCTTGCTACTCTCTGCATTATTA